AAGCCAGCCCAATTAAATGGTTTACATTATAAGAGTTGTCATTGGCATGGTGTCTCTAACCCTAACTAAGCTACATACCCTGATCCAGCGGGCACATACTGGCGGGAGAAAGAAACCCTCCAAGACCGTTGTTTTAAGCTGCCAGTCTTTTGTCTCAGGTCAGGAGGGTGAGGAAGGTGTTGCCATCTTGGAAGCTTGCCACCTTTATTGCCTAGCATAGCCCCTTTTCCTAGCCATCTACCCTCGCTCTCGACAGCTATTTTTGGTCATCGTTTGGAACTAACTTTTGAAGACGTTTTGAGAATAAGGAAACAGGTTGCCCACTGTGCTGTTACTTTTCTTGTCATAACAAAATACTTGACAGGAAAGACTTAGCCTGTCAGGCTCAGAGTTTCATGGTAGGAAAGGCCTGTTAGTCAGCTCCTGTCTGCAGCTAACCTTACATCCATTCAGACCAAGAACCAGAAAGCTCAGACCAGAACAGGGTTGAACAGTGACAGTCTTGACCACGTCTCTCTGGTCTTGCATCTGCCAGCGAGGCCACAAATCCAAAGCAGCACCATCAGCTGGAGACAAACTATTTAAAATACATGAGCCTGTGGGGGACAGTTCAACGCCCCATGTTCTAAAGGACTATCTGAGCCCAACACCAGCCATCTTGAGGAGTTCAATGGTCAGCCCATCTGTGATTATTGGCTGTCAGCATCCTATCACAGAGGAGCAGGGAGGGTCACAGCACCCTCGGCTGAGTATCCGCCCATTCCATATCACCTGCTGTACGCAATTCTGCCCTAATTGATTGTGGCCTTGGGGAAAGGAAGACTAGGGGAGGGGACTCTATTAATGCGGCTGTGGGAAAGCCATAATTCCTGCTTTATAGTAGAGACTATAAAGTTCAGTCTTGCCTTGGAGAGGAGGCCCTATCCACACATATGTAAGAAACTCTTTGTCTATGAGCTGAGCTCAGCTCAAACTCATTGCGTTCCTAGGGGGAGCTTCAGTAGCACTGTGCTTTGGTTTGTTGTTGGCACTTTAGAGAAGTGGAGGAAGATGGCATTTGCATACCTGCCAGCGAGGAGCTGTAACAGTGCTTTGCCTAGCCAGCAGAGTTAGACAAGACCAAGGATGGGTTTGGGAAGAGTGATGATGTTGCCCCTGATAGGGAGAATGAGACAAACAGCCGAAGTGAAGTTCCTTTTGTGGGTTGGAGGGATTTTGTAGAGGAAATTTGACAAGATAAGAAAGGCCCTTCCACCCCAAATTCTGGAGCTATTCTCTTTATCTCACCCCCAGGGACCCTTCCCCCATCCATTGAGAACTGCCGTACTCAAGAAGGGAGATAGCAAGCATTTTTTTTTTTTTTGGAGGCCTCTTTTTGGTAAGTCATAGAAACCTTTTTAAAGCTCACTTCCTATGGCACTTTTGCCTGGTTTCTGAATTCTGGTTATGGAGTGCCTATCTGGGAATGGGGAGGACCTGATGAGGTCTGTGCACAATGGCTCAGGGCAAAAAGAGACATCCCATGGCCAACTAGTTATTTCTGGTTAGTTGGGAATTCAGCCCCCTGCCTTGGAACTCTGAGGATACCCTGGTGACACTGGGGGCTGTGTAAAAAAAAAAAAATCCAAAACCCAAAAGCAAAAAACAAAACCTCAGAGGGGCCCAGTACTTTGGCTTCTGTCAGCATGGTTCCAACAACTAGGCTGCACAAGAAAGCCTCGGGACACTGAAGGTTAGACCTAGAGTTTGGAGAGACTCAGTGTAGGGACATCAGGGCGTACAGGCTTGGGCAAGAAGACAACTAAAATAGCCTCCTTCATGCCGAATTCTCTGGTCAGACTGGCAAAACCTCTGTGTGATGCCAACTGTCACTGTCGTTGTCTCTGTGGTTAGTTTTGCTTTGTGTCTTGTCTTGTGTCTGATCCGTATTTGTGTGTTGCGACTTGGGGTGACTTCATAGAATGCTTGGGTCATTGGACAGCTTTGAAGGAAGACCCCAGCCCGTGTAGAAGCCTGCAGGTGGCCTGCTGCGCTGGTGCAGCTGCAGCATCAATGTGCATGTGAGATTGTAGCTTCAGCTCCGGCGTCACTCCCTGTGACCTCTTCTATGGCAGCTACCGGGGCGGCTCTTCCCTGAAATTACAGGACTGGAGGAGGGAAGGAAGGTTTCGCCTGTCTGTTTTGTGATGTATGAATGCACTGTGTCCCTGCACTTTCGTTTCTGACTGCTTTTGAGTGTGTGAACTTGCTACTGTGCGGTTTCTTCTGCAGTCAGCCTCCCAGGCTCAGGATTTATCTCTGAAATTTCTGGCTACTGGACCTAATGTAATAGGGATTCAAATGTCATTTGGGTATAATATTAAGGTTGTTTTATGCTATGCTACTGTATTAAAAAGCTAACTCTAAAATTGGATTATGGCTTTCCCCTATTAAGATGCAAGCATGCTTTTAAAGTCTCTGTATCCAAAGTGAAAAACTGATAGGGAGAAAAACAAAAAACAGAATGGTTAAAGGGATTAATGGCTTAGGTATTTATTGGATATGGGTAACATTTGTGGTATCTATAACAAAAAGTTAATTTAAAACTCTTAACACGGGGTTGATAGTTAAAAGTCTGTGCACTTATCTTAAAGGAACTTGGTGGCATGAGTCTATTTTGTGATATAAACAACACATGGCTTGCCACCATGTCTAGGCAGCCCTGTGACTGGCGCCATCTTTGCTAGGGTTGGAAAGGGTGGGTGTCATGTGACTTTACCACCATCTTTGGGCAGCCACACATCTGGCAGCCATCTTTTCTAGGGTTGGAGAGGATGGACATTATGTGGCTATGCTGACATCATGGTTAGGGGCAACGACATGGTATAGGAAACCAAGGAGACAACAGATCTTCAAAGATAATTTTAAATTGGAATGGAATTTTGTATAACTCCTGTCCTGTCTTGAAAGCAAATTTGATAAAGGATGGAATTAAAAAACAACGCTTATTTAATGAGGTATTAAGACTGCACTCCCATGCATTCATCCGCAAGAATGGGTGCCTTGCTGGCAGCCAAACTTTATACTGTAAGAGTCACTCGGGTGGTCCTGATTTTAGGACCATTGAATTGTTTGCACTGCTGGAACTTGGTTTTGCCATCTTCAAATATGGTTGTGTCCTGTGTCTTCACTCTTAAATTAAAATAAAGGTACTTTATTTTAATATTGCAGGAACACACAGTTAAAAGATTTTAAACTTCTTTAAAAGGAAATTTTGGAGTTTTATAGGAAAATTAAATTTACAAAAAGAACTTTTTTTAAGAAACAGCTTTTAAAAACATAAATTTATAAGGCTATGGGACATTTTATATTTATAAGATATTTTATTATAATGTCTTTATTAATATGTGATCCCAATAAATAGATAAATAAAAGGCTAAAAATGAGGGCCACGGCCATGAGCAGCAACATTAAACACTAGAGACTGAGTATTCATATCTTACGATGAAGCAAAACAGTGACCCAAGGGCCTTACCTAAAGCCTATTCAGGCCAACGAAGACTGATGTAAGAATGTAACAAAACAGTGACCTAAGGGCCTTACCTAAAGCCTATTCAGGCCAACGAAGACTGATGTAAGAATGTAACAAAACAGTGACCTAAGGGCCTTACCTAAAGCCTATTCAGGCCAACGAAGACTGATGTAAGAATGTAACTTCCTTGTTTTTGCTAATATTGTTAAGCTATAGCTATTTTGGTAAACCAAGTCATACAAAAAATTGTTATATTCTATAATGATATACTATGGACCAGGAAATTAAAGAGGAAGTACAATCAAGCAACTTTCAAAAGGTACAACAAATGACAGAGACAACTGGCTACCTGGGCAATCACCCAAAGTCTCATTTGCAACGTTAGGGCAACCAACTTAAGCTAAGGCCTAGAGTAACTTACAGACCATTTTCAGAGGAGGCAGGACAATTTCAAAAGCTGTCCTGTCTTGGCAAGGTTTGGCAATCATTTTTACTTGTATCTTGCTTGTCCAGTCTGGACACTGTGCATTTTGTCAGTAGCAGAGGCAGAGGAAGTTCTTTGTCCAAAGGCCAGTTTTGCCAAGAAGAAAACAAGCTCCAATTTGAGTGTCTTTGGTACCCAACATTCTCTTAGGAATAGTTCGGTGCTGCCAGGAGCAATCATATCTCACATCAACAGAACCCTTAGGTATTTAAATGTTATATTCTACAGTTCTTTGAAGTAGTTAAACATTACATGTCTACGCAGAATACAATCTCTATGCATCTAAAGAACCTGACTAGTCTTAAGTATGACAAACATGGGTGACTATTGATCTGTAATTCTTAATACCTATATAGCTTAAAACTAAGGCTTCATATTAAAAAATTAAATAATCTTTAAACAACTGTGCAGCAAATGAGGACAATGGCCTCAAAATGTAAACAATATGTATAAGTATCTTGATCAGACGTAGAAATGTATAGTGCAATATGATAAATATATCCTAAAATTGCATCAATATATAAAATATCTTAAGCTGAGGTAGAAACATGCATGTATACAATATGACAAAATAACTTTGCATAGGTGCACAAATATTGTAAACAGAAATAGGAGCATATTCAATATAACAAATAAAATTTGAATTTGTAACAATATACAAAAATCTATACCAATGTAAATTGTCTATAAATAATAGCTCACAAGTCAGGCCACGTGGGCACCAAATTGTAGTAGTAACAAAGAGTTCCATAATAGCCTGGAATAGAGTATAGCAAAGATTTATTTATTTGGGGATAAACTCACAGTAAAGGTAGCAATCTGCCGTCCTCTGCGTGTTCTGGGAACTGGAGCCGAATCCAGCAGAAAAGGGGCTACTTTTAGTCTGCACATGTAGTACATGAGATCATGCCCAAAGTGGACTGGTATCTTAAAGGCAATTGGCTGAAGGAGTTCGCACAACATTTTAACTCCAACACAGCAAAATTATATACAGTAAGAACAATCATCAGGTATTGTCTAAAGAAAAAGGAAGAGTATTAACTTTAACAAAAAGAAATTATATACTCTTATATTTAAATTAACCCAGATTCCTTATTTATACTCTGCCACATGGTGGTACCTTTATTATCATGACACATTCATCTCCTGCTTCCTCTGTGTCTGGCTGGTGATTCCTCACTTTGCCTGACTTCTTTCCAGAATTCTGAGTTTGACTTTCCTGCCTATCTTTATTCTGTTTAGCTATTGGCCGGTCAGCTTGTTTATTAAACCAATCACAGGGACAAATCTTCACAGTGTACAATAGCATTACTCTGCAGCAAAAGACATTATTATTTATAAACTATTTACTTTTTCTATGACGATGCCCTTCTCTTTTCTTTCTTAAGCCTACATATGTTTTTAAACACGCTGTAACCTGTTTAGAGGTTTTTCTCACTTGAATCATTCTATACAGCATATCTCTATCCTTTTTTGACCACATGAGCCAAACTTTAAACTGCTAAGCAGCTCTGCACCAGGGCTGGCTCCACTCTGCTCTTAGTCTGTGAAAGATAAGCTCAGTCTGTGAGCCTGGCCAAGAGCCACAATTTTTAGTTGGGGACTGGTTTCAGTTGCCCCAGCTCTGGGATGCTGGTGATGCCCGTGTTTTTATTTAGCTTGCTGTTTCTACTGAGAGTATAGGTTTTCCTTCCTTCCTTCCTTCCTTCCTTCCCTCCCTCCCTCCCTCCTTCCTTCCTTCTTTCCTTTATTCTCTTATTTTTTTCTTTCTCTTCTTTTCTTTTCTTTCCCTTCCCTTTCTTTTTTTTTCAGTTATCTGAGGCCCTATGAAGGCGTAAGTCACAAACAATGCCACACCAATTCGGGGTTATGATTATTAGGGTGGTATTTATTTAAAGGGGAAAAAACTTACAGATCACTGTCCCAGGCAACAGCCCTCTACGCAACCAGGAAAGGAGTCTAGTCGCAGGCGGAGCAGGAAGTGAAGAGAGAGAGAGGAGAGGGAAGTGGCCGCTTTTTTAAAGGGAGAGAAACCACGCCCCAATGGGCTGGTACCTCAGCGGTGATAGGCTGGAGGAGTGGGAGGACCTCCCACAACAGCCCTATGTGGAAATTCAAGCCCCATGTCGGAATGCCAAATGTAACAAGTATACCAGGCTTTTTCCTGGGGCCACCAAGCTCCCAAATCCTGACACAGAAACTTACTAGTTTAGGCTTGTTTCTTGCTAGCTCTTACAACTTGACCTGTTTCTTTTCATCTACATTTTGTCTTGGGGACTTTTATCTTTCTTTCCTTCTGTATGTCCTACTCCATCTAGCTGGCTGGCATCTGACTCAGGCATTTCCCTCTTTTTCTCCCTGGTGTAGTCCCAGGATCATGATTGGGAGCTGGCTGGTGGTACAAACAATAGTCTGTTTGTTACTCCAAACAACTGCCATCTTTGGGTCAGCTATGCCCGTGTGCAGTGCTGATCATTGACATCCTCTAACTGAAGGAGGGTCACCTGAGCATCTAGCCCCTACATATCACCTGCTGTATGCAGTTCTGCCCTATTGCCCATGGCCTAGGGGAGGGGCCAGAGTATATAGGTGGGGGAGACTGGAGAGGAGCTCTATTTATGGGTTATGAGGAAGCCATTTTCTCTGCTGGATAAAGACTTTCCAGTACAGCCCTCTGAGGAGCGGAGAAAGGAGCCTAAGCTAAGGCTGAGCATTCATAACTAATAAGTCTCTGTGTCATGATTTGGGAGCTTGTTGGTGGACCTGAAGAAAAAGCCTGGTGTACTTGTTACATTTGGCATTCTGATGTGGGGCTTAAATTCCCACATACGGCCTGAGATAGCTAAAAAAAAAAAGAGAAAGAAAAAAAGGAAAGAGAGAAAGAAAGAAAGAAAGAAAGAGAAAGAAAGAAAGCAAGCAGGCCGGTATGCTAAGTAGAAACAACAAGCTAAGTAAAAACACTGGTAAACAAAACAAATATTTTGATTTGTTGTCAGGATCTTAGGGAGGCAGAAAAGGAATTTTAGCAACAACCTATCAATGATGTTGCAAGTTTCCAACACTTGGGCAGAACATAACTCCCACCCTCAAATCAAGAAACATGGGATCTATGAAGAAGTATATCATGTAATCAACTAGCAACATTCTCCTTTCTCTGTATAAACATCCCACCACCGACCAGTTGGAGATCTGTGGTTATGGTTCTTGCCTCATCAGTCAGCCACACAATAAACCATTTTTTTTTTTTTTACAAAAATCTAAGTCTCATGGCTCTAGCTGTTATGTGTGTCAGACACTAAGTCCTCAATCAGTGAGTTTCTGCCGACCCAAGTGGACTTTGAGTTCTCTGACTGCCTGTGTTCTGGTCCTTAGGAAGGACTGCCTATGCTGCTCTGAGCCCGGAAGTCTGCCTTCCTGCCTCAGTGCCATGGGACACCTGCGCCAACTTCCTTTTTGAGAAAAAGTAAAAGAAATAAGCCAGCCCTGAAAACCAAGCGTCTGGTCTTTAGGCCAGTAAGCCTGCAAGGACAGCTGTGGCTCTCTGTTTTGAGGATGGAGGCAAGCCCCCGTTTGACTTTTTTGGAGGGGTGGGGAAAGGGTAGAACCATGTGTGAAATAACTACAGATGATTCCAGTCTCTGCATCTGATTTAGCAGCAAAATAATAAGTGTCGTTTAATACATTATTTCGTCTGCTAGTTTATTGGTCTGTGCTTGAGGTCGTTGGCTTTGTCTTTAGCTTAAACCCAGAAATGACTAGCTGCCTATTGTCCTGTCATCAGATGTCACTTGTTTGTTAAAGCCATATGCTGATAGCCCGGGCTCTCAGGTCTCTGCCATCAAGTTGTCATACACTCTCAGTCATGACGAGGGGGCTTGGTCTGGTCAGATGCCGTGTTCATACATTCGTAAGTCACTGAACCTTGGGCTAATTAGAATCTCATTAATGCGATAAAAACACACCTACTAGTGCTGCGGCAGATTTGCCCATGGTCAAGTGAGGAAGGAGGTAGGACCCTGACCCCTGAGAATTCTCTTATCATGAGAGAGCCTATAATGAGAGCATGTACACTCCCCTCACAGCCCTGCCCTATGAGGAACCAAACGTAGAACTGTTCAGATAGAAGTGTCTTTGGCCCTGGGCACACCTATCTAGGATAAGTAAGATGTCTTACCTGTTTCTGGAACTGTTCGGTTATTTGTGAATGAAAGAGCAGAACAAAGCTTGGCAGATTTGCGGTGCAACTAGAGAGAAGCTAAGAGATGTTGTAATTGTCCTACTGAAGGGCCCTCAGACTTAAGAAAAGAGATAAATGCTCCTGCTAGCCCATCCTGGGTACCTGTGTGCCACTAAGGTCTTCAGACAGGAAGCAGTTTTACAGGAAGCCTCCTACTGGGTTGGAAGGAACCCTAACTGCCCATTGGGAGGTGCAATAAGGGTGTGGTCACCCTCTTCTTGAACACCCTGCACGCACTGTTGGGGGTTTTCTGGGACACAGAAAGAGTGACTCTGTGGGCATTCCCTGTACCTTCTGCTCTGGTCACACAAGTGGGTCCTGCAGGTGACACTGAACAGAACTCACTCAGAAATTCTCAGGACGAACTGTCCCTGGATCTCCCAGGAACGTCAGTTTCCCCTTAGGCAGGGTGCCTCGTCCACATAGCTATGTTTTGGTAATGGCGTGTGTTTTTTTGGGTAAACTTATTTTAGGCTCTCCATATCTAGTTAAATGTTTTGTTTGATTGACACGACACATTTAAAAGTGTCCTATCATACCAATTGCAAGTAAGTCTCCAAAAAGGTTCAGCATACTTTACTAGTCATGGGGACTGTAAGTTAAAACTACGTTGAGACAGGATTTGCCCCAGTTAGGGGGACCATCAAGCAGTCCGACTGTGGTATTTTGAATGAAATCGGCCTCCATAGGCTCACAGGGAGTGGCTCAACTAGGAGGTGTGACCTGGCTGGAGTAGGTGTGGCCCTGTTGGAGAAGTGTGTCACTGGGGGTGGGCTTTGAGGTTTCAGTTGCTAGGTTGGGGTCAGTGGCTCACTGTCTCTTCCTGCTGGCTGTTGATCCTGATGGAAAACTCTTGGTTCCTCCAGCACCATGTCTGCCTGTGTGCTGCCCTGCTTCCCGCCATGATGACAATGAACTAAACCTCTTAGCTGTAAGCCAGCCCCAATTAAATGCTTTCATTTTTAAGAGTTGCCATAGTCATGGTATCTCATCACAGCAATAGAACCCCTAACTTAAGACACCAACAAAAGGACCGATTGTAAGTTAGAGTTAACATGTCATAACTTTTAGGCTCCTGACTAATTTCCTTTTCCCGCCTTTAACAATAAATAAATTTTGAGACAGAGTCTCATGTTGTCATAGCCACACTTTGGGGTGTCATCTCTCAGGGTCCAGCCTCAATTGGGTTTGCATGTTCCAGGGTAGGGGCATGTGGATTAGAAAAATTAGATAGGAGGAACAGAGATAGGAAAGAAAAACAAAGATATAGGCTAGAACCAGGAGGGCTCTCCATCCACTGTATGCTGAATACTGAATACCCTTGTGTTTATTTTCCATATGCTTATACACCCAATCCAAAAAGGGGGGAAGAAGGCACAAAGAACAACCAGAGCAATTACCTGCTTCAATATTCGAGACACCACGCCATAATTTCCTGAATTAAGCATTCTGATGTTTTAGGCAGGAGCAGCAACTACACCTTAGACCAAGTATCCTGATAAAGTAGGCAGTCACTTCCTATGCCAAACCTCCTGTTCTAAAATGAAGGAACAGGAATAGGCTTGAATTCTCTGACCTTTGGTCAAAGTGGAGCTGATCTACCTCTGTGGACCATCTTAATGTCCAAAATACCAAATAACCACACCCTAGGTCTGGATATCTTGTTTGTAGCCACTTTTTAAGTTAGATTTTTTGTCGATAACTTTGAAAGAGCAAGAGTAGACTTAAGCTCTCTGACCTTCATTCAAGGTGGAGTGGACCCACTGCTGTGGGCCCCCACATCACGTACCCCAGGCTTGTCTTGAACATAACGAATTCCGTTTCCAGGATACACATGGTGGGAAGAAAGAACCAAGTCCTACAAATTGTCCTCTACTTCCTCATGTGTGACACTAGTGCCCCATACCTCACACAAAGTCATTAAATATAATAAAACTAAAATTAATAATCAGATATTATTGATGGTGGAAATAACCAAAATCCCAATAATGAATAATTAACACATAAGCACAGTGGAAAGCAATTTAGCACTAAATAGGAATGAGGTACTGAGACATGCTACAGTGTGGATATACCTTGAAAACATGCAATGTAAGAGGACTAGGCACAAATATTGTACATTGGATGCTACATTCATGTGGTGTCAGGATAGGCAAGTCTATGGAAGAAGAGCAGGCCCGAGGCAGCAAGCTCCATGGGAGCAGGAGCAGACCTGAGCCAGAGACTTCCACTAGAGACACAGGAGCAAGGGGGGTGGGCAGGCCCGAGTCAGAGACCTCTGTGGGACTGGATGTGAGTCAGGCACCTCCAAGGAAGCAGGCCAGAGCAGGCCCAAGGTAGCAAACCACAGGAGCAGGCTTGGGCCAGTGACCTCCACTGGAACAGGCCTGAGGCAACGACCTTCACAGGAGCAGGTACAGGGGAGCCACCCCTGAGGGAGCAGGCCTGAGCCATTGACCTCTGCCAGAGCAGGCCCAAGGCAGTGACCTCAGTGGGAACAACCAAAAGAACAAATAATCCAATTTAAAAAATGGGGTACAGACCTGAACAGAGAACTCTCAACAGAGGAATTTAAAATGACTGGAAGACATTTAAGGAAATGTTCAACATCCTTAGTCATCAGAGAAATGCAAATCAAAAAACTCTGAGATTCCATCTTACACCTGTAAGAATGACCAAGATCAAAAACACTGATGACAACTTATGCTGGAGAGGT